CTTGATGTGATTTATTGAATATTCTGAAACTGCATATTGAAGCAATCAGCAAAATGTGCCGTTTAGGAACCAACAGGAAATGCTTTCTAACTTTCAACTTATATTAGAGAGAAACACCTTGCATAATATCTTATAATAATACCTTAGCTAGAATTGAGATGAAAAGATCATTTTTAGATGAAAGGCATGTAGACAAATGGGATGCAGGAAGGCTGCATCTGGTATACGCTGCGTCATTACCACACATGGTTAGGCTGTACAGTGAGTTAATAGAAAAGTTGTGTGTGCATTATGTTCTTTGGGCGATAGAAACATTTATTAAATTACACTTGAGGAACCTTTTGCATTTGCATTTGAATATGTGCTATTTCTGATGTTTTAATCTTAAGGTATTATGATAACACTTCATCATAACTTGTTAAAGTTTGTCTCAGCTGAGGTATAATTGAAGCAGTTACCTGTCGAGTCTCCCCCAGTTAACTTTCTCTGTTTCCTCCTTTATTCATGAAAAGCAGCTGGAAGCAATTTCCTTTAGAGTTGTTTAATGAGTCAAGTGAGATAATTACATTTGTGCACATGTTGACTGTGTTGTGGCACAAAGGAAATGAAATGATGAAGGAAATGTTTTTTTTTGGTCTAAAATCACAAGTATAAGAGATATTTTTAAAACTATTTATGCTTCACACTCTCAGTAAAATATCACTGATAAGTATTAAGAGGAGGCCAGAAGCAAGTGAACCACCACAGCTGAAAGCACAAGAGTTTAGCTTATTTTAATGTATTCGTCACACCGACTCTTAGTGGCACCTCAGGCGGTCACGCATGTCGGCCTGATACGTGGGCAAGACCTAAAACAGTTTGAGAGAGGAATGGTGGATGGGGGGGGGAAGAAATGTCTGCACTCTGAAAATTAAGCTGCCTAATTTCTATGCCTGGTAAGGGCTTTATTCATTATGTCATTATGTTCTGTGCCATCAGCAATCAGTGGAGCTTATTATTGAGAACGTATTGGAAGGAAGAATATTTTTGCTCAGGGTCTCTATATAGATAATGCTGCACTTAATTAGAACTACCTGTGCACTTATGTGCAGATGTACAGCTTTATATGTTTGTGACTCTTGATTCATATACAGTACAGGGTCATTTATATTACCAATGTGTGTATGTGCGTGTGAGAGTAAAGTGTGTGTATGTTTACCAATCCATCTGCTGTTGAGCTTGAGGCAATTGTTGTCCCTGGAGGCTGGCGGCAGCTGCTGTATGAATGAACGTGTGTGTGTGTGTGTGTATTTGTGTGTGCGTGTGTGTGTGTGTGTGTGTGTGTGTGTGTGTGTGTGTGTGTGTGTGTGTGTGTGTGTGTGTGTGTGTGAAAGCCTCTGGGAAAGACAGAGCCAGCATGTCCAGCCGACACACCAGCTGAATAGCAGCTATTACACACACAGTCTTACAGGTCAATCAGCTGCCGACAGATCAGTTCGTATAGTTTCACTGCAGTGAAGTATCAGGTCCTTATCTTTTCTTCCTCCCTCTGTGTGAGCCCAATCCAGGGATATAGACTGATTCATTTTCTTTAAAATCTTATAAATCTCTGGCTGTGGATTTAGAAAGTCTCCAAAAATGTAATGATTGAGTGGTGACATAATTTACTTGCCATTTAAGGAACTTTTGGTTGAAGGGACGTGATAGATGGTGTCCTTTTCATGTTTACCTGTTTGAATCAGCTCAGTAGATGTTCCTTATTTTTATATTCTGTCTTCAGGTTTGAGTTCTACAATCTTTTTCATCATTTACGGTGGTTATTGAATATTCTGCAAGTTCAGGCCTCGGGGCCATCCTATCCCAATCCAGTCTAACGTACAGTATTGGCTTGTTACTCTGCAGGACTTAAAACACTGATGTTTGCAGATAACCTTCGTCCACCTCTTTCTGCTAATGCAGCAATCTGCCCTGTGCTGATTATCCTGTTATCCAGCAGCAGAGTATACACACACACACACACACACACACACACACACACACACATACAGGACACAAACACACACACAAGCCTGCTAACGCACACAGCACAACACTCAATACTTGCAATGTCTTAGAATTTTTTTAATGACATAAAACTGCCCAACAAACAAGTATAGACTGAATATCTGCAGTACGGTACTTAAGTTTCCTATCTGAGGAAAGTAAGTATTTCTGACAGTTCTTACTGTTCAGGGGAGAAACTGAGAAAACTGCAAGATGTGTCGCATTTCAGGCATAAAAGATTTAAACCTTATATATCATCTGCCCTTAGTTAGTCCTCAGCAACTCATACTTTAAGAAAATTAGCACACAACTAAGTCGATTTAACCAGGTGCTGCAACATGCTGCCTGTTCATTCTTGTTAGCAGCCAGGATATTTACTATTTATTATTTTACACAAATTAGATTAGAGGAATGGGATTTATATATTTACAATTAACTGGGTACACTGGGTATTATGATTTCCAATGGTATACATAGACCTTCAGTGACAAAGGGACATGAATGAGTTGAGATGAAATCACTTTACATGTAAATAGACTAGTTCTTGTGTTTTTCTGCTGTATTTGTGTGTAGAAAATAGTAAAACAATATTTTGTATTCCTGAGGTTTGCAAGCTGTCACTGAAACATAAAGAAGAGCCTATATTCTGCAGAGACCCCCCAATACAAATACTGTTACATCTGAATTAAAAAAAATGCTATGGACATTTTTACTGTAAAAGACCAGTGCAGTCTGTGAGCTTGTGTCACCATACAGAGATGTGGATACCAAGCAGACTTAGTGACATTTAGTTAATGCTATTACAATGTAGTAATTATCATTGGCATGAGAAGAAGCAGACCTTGAATAGAAACAGAATGCAGACGTGCTGTTTCTGTCATTTTAAGTCTGCTTCCAGAGCCGCGGATTCTCACACTGACACTGAACATGAGCTAGTTTCATATTTAAACATAATTTAAACAAATATTTGCATTTAAATGAACAGTATCAACCACAGATTACTATCTCAGTGAGCAGTATGCGTCAAATGGCTCCTTGTGGTGCAGAGAATCATTAATGTCGGCCCTTCGGCCAAATCCGCTGTTGTCAAACCACCATTGAAGGCAGATACATGCGACTTACAGCAAAGGATCAAAACGTGACTAAAAGTCTTTACATAAATTACACACACAATCTGCATTAACTTCTGGAAGACCAAAGGTGCAGAGAATCTTTATTCTGCTTTATTTCTGATCATGTTGAAAGTCAGTGTAGCATATACTGTCACAGCTGCTCAGAGCACTGACGGCCGGACATGTTTGCCATTTTGCACAAGTCATACACATGGATGACTCTCCGTCTTTGTCTCTGTGTCCTTGTGTCTGTCTTTCTCACACGAAATAACAGGCACGCACTCGCAGGTGGAGCAGGAACAGTCCTGCAGCAGCCTGCTGCTCTATTTTAAGTCTCCACATGTATACCTCTTACCTTCACCTGCCTTCCACTCTGCTTTCATGAGCTGTCTCCTCAATCGCCTCAGTCAAAGACATTTATTTTTTTCTCTCCCTAAGGAAACACAAATTTAACCCTGCACTTGTTTCACTAATTTGTTGGTTGCTGTGGTAACATGCTGTGGGCCTTAAAAGATACACTTTGGAGTCTCATTTGATATGTGGATAAAAACACAGAACAACTTTTTATATATTTTAAATGCAGTGGAATAATTTTACCTTACATCACCTGAATTAAAGTCTACTGTCGTAGGTGCCATTTCTCCCAGATGTTCTAACCCACCTGGGGCCAGCTTCAGTCTATCTCTGTACCTTTAGTTGCCCTGGGTGGCCCTCTTGTGCTCGGAAAAAAGTGTGTTTAAAGTAATTGGCTCCTCCACGCAGGGAGCATGCACATCCACTGCATTGTGGCATAAATACCAGAGAGCCCGGTGATGTGCAGGCTTTCCTCGCTCATTAGAAAGAGCTGACAGTGCAGCCCTAAAGCCCCAGTCTTCCTCCGCAGTGCCCATGCTGGATCGACACCAGAAGATAAAAGTACAGCACACCAATCTCTCCGAGGCGTTGAAAAACAGCCACACTGCTCTCTAGATCCTCCGGCCCCTGGACACCACGCTCTCTAACTGCAGTAATGCACTAATGATGCTCAGTGGGAGGTCCTCACAGTTTTTAGAAGATGCCACCTGTATAGTTCAGTACTAAGATGCTAATAATCAGCGCTCATACTATGACTGGTGCTCTCTAAAAAGACACATTCCTGAAGTCTCTGCAACTGTGAAACTTGTCGACCCGTAATATGATGTCTAATGTTGAGGTCATTTGTACAGGATCTTAATGAGGCAACACTGAAGAGATTAAAGGCTGGTTTAAATATTACTGGAAAAATACAACAATGAATTATACAACACTGTTTCCTAAATCAATGGTTAGCAATCACGGTACGTGCCTGTACGTGCAGTCACACACACTGATGTACTTCCTGTTCCGTTTCAGCTCTGCAGTGAAGACGAGTGTGAAATCACCTGTTTCAGTCTCTTATGATTAGTGAACCCATTTATGCGTATTATCTAGAGCGCAAATCCACCATCCCTTGGCGTTGTTTATCACAGCAGCTGAGTTATAACACATGCAAACACACACACATTCATGCATGAACATACCCATGCACACACACACACACACACACACACACACACACACACACACACACACACACACACACACATGCATACACAGAATCTTACCTGAAAACGTTTTTTTTCTGATGCTCGGAAATGGTTTTAGGGTACAAAGTGAAAACAACATCCAATCGCTCGTTAGATTATGTTGAACCATGATTTTACAAATCAATTCAATCACAAATACTCAGAATCATACCCAGATACTTTCTGAATATCTGTGCATTTGCTCCTCGTTAACTGACCTTCTTTGTCTCCTTTTCACCCCCTCCCCTTCCTGCCCTTTCCTTCTCCTTCTGTCTCTCTGCAGGATCCTGCTGACAGTGGTGGTGATTTTCCGTATCCTAATAGTAGGCATAGTGGGAGAAAAAGTGTATGAGGATGAGCAAATCATGTTCATCTGTAATACCATGCAGCCCGGCTGCAACCAGGCTTGTTATGACAAGGCCTTCCCCATCTCGCACATCCGCTACTGGGTCTTTCAGATCATCTTGGTGTGCACGCCGAGTCTGTGCTTCATCACATATTCTGTTCACCAGTCGGCCAAAGCACGTGACCGAAGCTACTCTCTCCTGCATCCTTACATGGATCACCATGGTCATGGTCACCATGGTCGGCATGGTCATGATCATCACGCTCGCAAGCTCCACTCTCGCAACATCAATGGCATCCTGGTGCACCCTGACAGCAGTAAGGAGGATCATGAGTGCCTGGAGGTCAAGGAGATCCCCAACGGACCACGAGGACTTCCTCAAACACACAAGAGTGCCAAAGTGCGACGACAGGAGGGCATCTCCCGTTTCTATGTCATCCAGGTGGTGTTCCGCAACGCACTGGAGATTGGCTTCTTGGCCGGCCAATACTTCCTGTACGGCTTCAATGTGCCAGGAATGTTTGAGTGTGATCGCTACCCATGTGTGAAGGAGGTGGAGTGTTACGTGTCCCGTCCAACAGAAAAGACCGTGTTTCTGGTCTTTATGTTTGCAGTGAGTGGCATATGTGTGCTGCTCAACCTGGCTGAGCTCAACCACCTTGGCTGGAGGAAGATAAAGACGGCCATGCGAGGGGTGCAGGCCCGAAGGAAGTCCATCTGTGAAGTGCGCAAGAAGGATGTTTCACACCTGTCCCAGGCCCCAAACCTGGGCAGGACCCAGTCTAGTGAGTCAGCCTACGTCTGACAGAGGCTTCTCTGCCTGGGGGCTCGAGGACCTCTTAAATTTTGGAGAAGAGCTTTTCCCTGGCCCAGGACCCCTACCGTTAGGGCACAAAACTCACTATTGCATTATTATTCAGGAGCACAGCCGGACTCTGTGTAATCATGATAAAGCATCAGTTCACAAAGTAGAGTCTTTGACCCTTCTAGAGACAAGAATCACCTTCTTAAAAAGGCAACTGTGTTGCTGCAACAAAGCTTTACACCTAAAGCTTACACGATGAAGAGTTCTGCTCTGCCTAGGTGACACTAGATGCCTTCAAAGAACCCAACAGATAAAACTGAGCAAATACTAATAATATTAAAATACTGTAAAGATAGTCTGAGGTTGAATTATCTGAAATTCTTCATTATTTGCCTTTGCTGTAGGTCAGAAATAATCCCCTTATTTTCCAATTATGTCTGCATTATGCAAGAGCTTAAGCGTGTGCATGCATACGCATGTGTGTGGGGAAAAAAAGCCAATCTCTGACTTGATTCAGAAAATTGAATGCTAAGCTAATCTGAACTACTGAGAGAAAGATGTTATTTCTCATGGTCCATAATCATCGAGCAAAGTCACTTGGCGTACAAACAAGCACCTTTTTAAACACATTTTAAGAAATATACACAAAACCACACAAAAACCAACAGCAGTAAAGCTATCAACATAAACTGGGACACAGTGTCAGTGTACCAGGCTTTTTCTTAAACACTGTCACAATTCTTCACATTCTTTGTTGCATTAGGTGCCAATCAGACTGTAGATTGACATTGCCTGGGAGCTTTTGTTCAAAGAGAGACACATGGTGCATTGAAGATGAGTTAGATTTACTTTCCAACACTGTGTTACACACCACAATGCTCCCAGTGCCTGCAAGGCATGCTGTTTACTCTCAGAAGCCACTGAAAACAGTCAAGAAAAGTGTGCCAGTGTTTCCACTTTGGCTTCTAAAGTGTGATCGCAGTGTAAGGTGCTGAATGGAGTTATATAAAGATTTTTTCAAATAAACAGGAAAAGTATTGTTGTCACAAATATTTTAACATGTAACCTCAAGCTTTTTTTCACAAGCCGATTTGGTGCCATATTTAAAAGTTACTGTACATAGATGAGATGTAATAATTACACTTAGCCTTTTCCCTATGCCGTATAGATGGGCCTCACTTGGATGGGGGAACATGGGTTTGGGTGGTAATGAAGATTAATCATAGATTGCCAGCTTTAACAATATGTATTATAAATGTGCTCTTTGTTAAGCCTTCACCCTCTAATGGAGACTGTATGTTCCAAAACGTGTTTCCCCACTATGGACTTTGAAAAAGGCATGTTACTGAAGCATTAATAGAATGGATAGATTATGACATGTAACTTAAAAAGAGACTTTTATTTATTTGCATCCTGCTCCTGTGAAATGTAATACTTAGCATGCATGAAGATGACAAATATAAAGAGATATGAACATAGAATCCCATTGTGGGAATATTGAAAGGGAATACCTGAAAGGCTCCAGAACTGCAGCAATAATAATATATAGTATGTGAAAAAAAAAAGTGTGAATAAATTATTATGCAAACAGTGATTTTGGCTGTGCTGTGTGTAACAAAAAAGTGACAATTACTATGTGCCATTTTGCTTTTATCAGGATGTTGAGAGGTAAGTGTTAAATAATAAGTAATTACACAAACTAAAGAAGTCCTATCACTGTGAGTGGAACATTATAATTTAACTGAATACTGATGCATTCACACTTATGTAGCATTTTATTGTTTTAGCTGTTTGATGTGGAACTAACTGTGTCCACTTTACATACAGTTAGGTAGTTCAAGCTATAAAAATGCATCACATTTTGTCTTTTCATCATATGTTTTGTTTTTATATTTTTATATGCAAAGTAACTAATGGAGTAAGAAGTATAAAGTATCATCAAATTCAAATACTCAAGTGCAAGTACCTTAAAAATGTAAATACAGTACTTGAGTAAATACTTCCTCAATTTCCACCACTGGCAGTGTACATGGCAGTGTGCTGCAACATAAAATATACAGTAGCTTTTCCTGCTGTACAGAATACATAGGTATATACAACACAGACTACAGAGCACAGTGCAGAGCTTACAACTGCACAGATTCAAATCCTGCTTTAATATTTATTATTCAACACTGAGAAATGATACATCTCTGAGAGATAAGTACAGGCTCCGACTTTCTGTTGATGAATTATAGATGTTTAACCTGTTCACTTCCATGTCATAAAACTCCTGACTAAAGTAAATTTATCATAATGCTACAACTTTTGCTCATTCATTTACACTGAAAGCTCCCGTGTTTTTGCCGAGCAGTAAAATGTGTCTGACACTCACACTGTTGTTTCTCAGGCTCAACGTGACTCGTAGGCAGGTAAGTTATTAGAGCGGACCTGATAATTCCAGTAATGAGCGAGGTTACTGAGGGAAATGTGTGGGGGCGGTGAACCTTTTAGTGTTATTAAACCTTCAGTCAGTGCAGGCGTTATGTGGCCGTGTCCTGGGGAACACTGATAACATAGTGGAACTAGAAGAAGAGGGACAGGGGTGATGGAGAGGTGTGTTAATAAAGTTGATTGTCTGATAGGATGTAGAGTAATGAATTTTGTGGTTATTCATTCACTTAAAGGCCACACTGTGTTCTTATTGGCGTGTGGGCAGCCGTGATTGACTCTCAGAGTGTGAGATATACATTCACATCAACCACAACCAACACACACGCACACACATGCACAGATCGTCAATAAATGCCTAAACAAAGCATTTCTGAGGATGTAGCCAGGCCGGTTGCTGTGGTGACAGGAGGGCAGTAATGATGTTAAGCACCACTGAGACTACAGTAGTGAAGGGCAGAAACAGCACTGCACCATCTCTCCTGCTGTCGCTCCACAGCAGCACTTCGACCTACAGGACATACTCAACGTACAGAAAGTTAGAAACATGCTGCACTGTGCTTTATGCTGTAGCGCTGCAGCTGCAGTACACTATGAGCTAAATAACAGTAATTACCTGCTAAAGATATCTTACAGGTATGATGACGACTCACAATAATCTGGTGTAGAGACCGGATAATAGAGCAGAAACCATAGGTGTAGTATGAAGTTTTAACATTTGAATTTAATTAATGATAAACCTTTTACACATACCTTATAATGAAAACATTACTTTAAGATCACTGCCTTTTATTTTAGAGTCAAGTTTTACACAATCAGATTGCTTTATTTAATGTGTATAAGTTCTTTATTTTTAACATTATGAAATGAAAAATCGTAAACGTAATTTAAAGCACCAGTGTGAAGTAGCATCTAGCAGTGTAGCTGCAGATTGCCACTCCCTCATTTAACACTCCCCTTACAAGCACGAAGGAGGTACTACAATGGCTACAAAACACATAAAAACCATTTAAGGCCCCATCTAGGGTTTGTCCGTTCTGGGCTACTGTAGAAACGTGGCTGTTAAACACGGGGGACTGCATATAAGGCGACTTGCAGCGTCTGTAGATAAAAATGACTCTCAGGAAATGAAAACATCCTAAATGTCACTGGACCTTTAATACAGTGAAAGAATGTTCACATTTCGTACAATTAGAGAAGCTTTAATACAGCCCTACTCACATTCAATTTATGCACAGTGCCTAAGAGGAGATGTGTCTATATGTTCAGATTATAGTTATAAACAGAGTTGTCATCCACAGACACCCACATTTCTGCACTCAGTACACTCCATTAAATATGACACAAATGCATATCTACAACTTTCTATCTGCTTACTCATATATGAAAGCATGCAAATAGACGGTTAACTGCCCCGTGTAATCACAGGGATGGTTAGAGGCACTGCAGGTTTATGAATTTTGAATGAAAGAAAAGAAAGTCATACATTAGTAGGGATATGACGTGCTACTGCGAATGAGAAAAGGAACGAAAGAACATAATGTAACAAGATGCCCCCCCCAGAAACACATACCGACCTGCTGTGTAAACTATTTTAAAACAGGGGAGTGTCTACTGTCCAGTAGGATACGGATGGTCAAGCTACCCAACAGATGAGCCATATGCTGGCTTCAGATCAAATGATTTCCACTGCAGTGGATCAGGGAATATGTTTAACCCATTTATAAGCATTTTAAATCATCTTTTATAGAGATTCCCCCTGTGCTATTCTTCAGTGTTCGATGTGCCTTTCTCTTTTTAGATGTTCTTTTCTGCTCTCCATAAAATGACTTAACTGAAAACTTAAATCTGTTTATGTGTTGGTATGCAGGGCATTTACACCCAATGACACTGCAACTCATTCTCTCTCTCTCTCTCTCTCTCTCTCTCTCTCTCTCTCTCTCTCTCTCTCTCTTTTGCTGCAGTTTTTGCAAGGATATTGAAGTTTGACAGTAATGCTGACTTTTATGGACTGTCCTCATTATTCAGCAACTCACTGTTTACTCTTTTCTCAGCTTAAAACATCAAAACTTTAAAACATCAGTAAAACCAAATAAACACAGCTTAATATGTATCTATCCATTAATGAGATGTATGAAATAACACACAAACATCAAATATTTACCTCCCCAAATAGAATAGAAAAAAATGAACAGAAATAACAGTCTGACAATAAAGAGCTGGTCACTTCCAGGTTGCTATTAAAACTAAACTATGCTGTGGTGATCATGGAGTGTATTTTAAAGCACTCTCATGTTCTCCCTTGTTCTCTGCACTTAGCTGAGCTCCTTGACTCCAGTCATTCACTATCCAAAGTGCTGGCCTGCAATATTATGACTCAGAATTCACCTTCATCTCTCTTTAGTTTGCAGATCTTGGTCAGATCAGGCAGCTTTCATTTTCCAGTTCAACTGTGACATTTTCATTCATCTCATGTTTGTTCATGATGAGGAGTCCCTGAAAAATAAGTCAGTAAATCAGCTGCTCGAAATCTCGTGTTTTTGCTTAGGTTTTGGATACCTTTCCAAACATAATGAAGATCTGCAGAAACATGTATTCTAGTAATTTGACTATATCAGTGTCTGCATAATTCAGAGATATTCAACAAATCAATTTGACTGACACATTTGTTATTACCAATAGAGTGAGATGTAATGACATGTGAATTATTTCATTAGTTTGCTCTCTTAGATACAGTATCTGTACCGGTGTATTTTTCTGTCAAAGTCTATTTTAAGACATTGTTTTGTCATTCTGAGCAACCAGATGTGATTTCTTTTTTGGTAACTTGTCTCTGAGCCAGGAGCATCATCAAACATGTCTACTCAACTGACTCAAGTGTAGATATCACTGTAAACATCAGATTTGTGCTCTTATTTTCATGGCTACACAAATTGAATCTTTGTGTTAGTATTTAAGTCTGACTCTTTTTCTAACCTTTACCCCCCTGCTGTAAATAGATCTAATTTAAAAAAAATACATAAGTATTATTTTTTCTCTGTGAGGATGAACCAGTGTTACCAGATTGATTGGCATTTACTGTCTATTCACAGGCATTCACCCTTGCCTCCTCATTAAATTTTCATCTGCTCTATGACCTATACTCTCCACAGCTGATTCATTACTATCTCAGTAATAAGACAGCCCTAGGAGAAGAATCATTTAATTATTCCTCTCCGTGTTCCTTGGATATTTCCCTCCCTGCCTCTTCACTCATTCATAAAGATGAAATTGGAGTTGCTTACTCCTCTCTGGAGCCTGCTCCACTTCTAGCCTCTTAATGTCTCGGGGCATCAATCTGTGTCAGTCTCCATTCTGCTTTCCTGCAAGTGACTTGGTCTCCTTACGTGATAGCCCTGTTTGGCACAGTCTCTCTGCCCTTCCTCGCTCACTCTGTCTCCATCTGCTCCTCTCCTCCTCTACCTAACTCACTCCTCTCTCTTTCCACTGCTTTCTCCACCTCCATATTTTGTTCTGCCCTCCTGCCTTCCTCTGACTTTCGATGTCCTCATTCATGTACGAGCTGCTCTGGCTTTTTTCGCCTGGAACACTTAACATTGAACATTGATTCCAATGAGTTCTCTATTTCCTCCTTGTACCTATCAAAGCTGTTGAAGCTAAAATCCCAAACTGTCTTTAACCCTGATTCCTTCCCTTTCTCTCACTTCAAAGGATTTTGACGCTGACAAAAAAACAAATCTTCTCCCAAAAGCTCAAAAGCTTTTTATCTCCTTCTATGTTGCCTTGAGACCTCACTCCCACCGGTTGATAAACCTGGAAATATGACATATATGGAGCAGACAACATGCGAGTTTTGTCCACTGATATTAAAGCTGTGAGTTTCTAGCCTTCCAGATCCAGACAGATTTGGGGTAAATCTCAAAAATATCCCCAACAACCAACTCTGCGATACACTCTACTCAAATCTGATCCTGTTTTTCTGCTAAATTAATAAAAAGGGGAAAAGACTGAGGTCAAGTTAGTTTCATGAAAAGTACTATATTCTTTTTCTGACTGATGGTTCTACTTTACAGGTCCAGTGTGTGGGATTTAGCGTAGTTGCAGATTACAACTCCATTGCTTCACTCTTCATTCACAAGCGTTGTCTGTCCTAGGCTACTGTAC